CAGCCACGTGACCGTTTTCGGCTAATGAGATCCTGATTGGGCGTTTCCTGCAATCAATCGGGGCGGGCTTATATCGTTCTTGTTCTAAAAAAACAAAATCTAATTTTTCCTTTTTTTTTTTCGCACGTACGAAAAATGACCATCTTGGCCTTCTCTCACCTGGACTTTGTCAAACAGCCCGCCGCTAATTAGACTTGACCTCAGAAAGGATCTTTTCCGCCTTCTTGGCGCCCTCTGTGAGCCAAAAGCAATTGTCCCTCTTTTTACCTCTTTGTTTTTCCTGATAGTCAAAAATCTTAATTATCTACATTGAAAATGTCTCCACTTTATTATTGTGGGGGGTTCTAATTTTTTTAACAGGTCAGAGCCTGTATACCGTTCCACCGGTCACTCCCTCAACCCAAAAAGACACTTTTTCTCTGATTAAGATTGTTTCATTGTTTCCCAAAATTTCTCTTTATCCAAATTGATAAGGTGTCTTTCCATGCAAAAGTAGGCTAGGTGCTTTGACCGATATCTGGCTTCCATCAAGCGGCTCGTTTTGATATCATGTCTTTTTCCCTTTCTTTCTTCTTATTATTTCTAATTCTATTCTTCCAATTGTCTTTAAAAAATTCGGTCAACATGCTAGCTAAGATATCTTTCTGACTCGTGTTTTGTTAATGACCGTTTTTTTTTTTTGTATTTCTCGACCTCTCTCTTCCCCTTCCTTCTTCTTCCCTTAGGATCGTCCAAGTACAATCTTAGTGAATTATTTTCAACTCGATTATTTTCCGTTTTAAAAAAAATCAACAACCTGTTTAGTAAACCGAGTAAGAAAAAATTAAATCATATTTCTATGAATATTTCTAATAATGCAAGGTGCCACAATGTGTCCTGCAGCCAAATCGTCCCGAAATGTAATGCCCTGCAGGAGTTGCCGGAATGATGTCAATGTTGCCAGCCAACAAACCTTCGGGTCTCCGCTCAGGGTTTTCTGTCTGGATTTATTTCCATGGCCTTTTCAGTGTTTGGATATGACCGCAAGCCAGCGGAGGTTTTAAATCGGAGTTCTCCTTCCCCTTAAAGGACAGCCTTTCTGGGCTCTCTAGCTCCCCTACCTGAATCAGCTGGTTATGAGGCGCCAGTTTTCCGCCTTCGCCCATTCTCAAGCTTGGACTTGGACTTAACTGTCAGCGGTTATCTGAAACGGAAGCATTTTATAGACCGTGGGAGCCTGTCCCTGCTATCAACCCAGCTATGACAACCTTTGGAACATAATGTACGTATATAAGCATTATATACATTACTTGTTTTAGAATCTCAAAAAAATCAACAGTTTATATATATATATATATATATATATATATATATCAAATTTTTTTCACAGATAACGGTTTTCTCTGTATTAGTATTTATTCGTTTTTTGTACAACTAACCTGAAGATCGTTTGTCTTATTGTTTGTCTTTTTCTTTTTGTTTACCTAAAGTTATGTTTATCAACTTTGAATTTTCTACTCTCGTTCATTTTTTATCAATTTATAGCTTAGGTGTTAGTACTATCAAAAAAGCAGTATAACTTATTTTATTGTATGTTAAATAATGACTTCATAATCTACGAGTATTATAGACTTAAATCTCCCGATTTATATTTTCTTTTCTTTTTTTTAAATCTAACAAACTTTTCGATATTTGTGTCTGCTTATTTATGTACTATTTTGCAATTTAACTTGATTTCTAGCATTTTTGTTTAATAACAAAAGTAATTTTGTCGATTACTCAATGGATTACGAGTGACAGGATGGAATCTGACCGTATTTAGAACAACCATAAACTCGAGTGAACTCCCAATGACTTTGTCTAACTCTGAAGAGTCAGGTGTTTCATAAGCAGCAGTTAAATCTAAAAGTGACATCTCCACATAAAAGTAGCAAAAATTGAATAAAATACATAAATAAATGAGAACTTTCGGGAACAAGTGCCACTACGCCGGAAAGTAGAATGTTCCGATCGTAGAATTATATAGGCAGAGCCACTGATATAATGGCCAGTATTCGAGCTAACCGTTGGCGCATGGTGCACCATTGGAATATATGTGTAGAGTTAATGCCACATAGATGTAGTGAAGTAAGGATGAGCAATTAAATGGTCGGTAATCTTCAACAGTGAGAGTGGCGGCAGGGAGATGGCTAAACTAAGAGAGGTATAGATGGATTTATTGCTGGCGGAATAGAAAATATGGTCTGTTATTCTGTCGTCAGGAAAAACAAAATTGACAGTGAAGTCATACTTACCATCTATTTACACCGAGCCCAGACCGTACCATGTGAATCCCATTTTAAATAACTAAATATATGGGAAGCAGGATCCATTGTTGCTTTTCTCGCCATGGTGTTATTTCACTTTTCGTCCCGCTATGAACGTACACCAGAACTTTCCCAGTTTTGGAGCATATCGGCGCAAACGAGAATCAAAGAACAGGGTATGTTTTTCAGAGTTGCTCTTTGTTAAGCGTAGCTTATTTTGGCACACATTGAGGATCGAACCCACAAGTAATGGTAAACTATACTAGCTCATTATCCGCTAACCTACCCCAAGTCACCCATGCTTTTCTGAGATACATTCATTTTTATCATTACAAAATTCTTCAAACAGATCTGCTTTTTCTCTAGGTAATTAGTAAGATCAGATCTTTCAAAGGTCCTTGACAATGTGTGCCATAAAGGGTTACTATACAAGCTCTCTATCTGTGGAATCACTGGAAGAGTTTTCTATTCTTAACAAGTCCTTCCTGGTGGTAATTGTTAACAACCAGTCTTCCAAGGTCCAAGAGATCAACGTAGGCGTCCTCCAAGGTTTGCTTCGGGGTCCAACCCTCTTTCTATTTTACATAAATGATCTGCCTAAGAATCTACACCGATCTTTTGTGAATATCTTTGCTGATGATACACTGGTATATGAATGAACCTTCAAATCTTGGAGATTGGCAGATGATCTCTCCTCTGACCTAGCCTAACAATTCCTCGAAAACTAAACTAGGGACGTTACATCATCACCGTGTATACCCAGAACTTTCACCTGTCACGATAAACAGATGTTCCCAAAGGGAGACCCCGTACCTTGAGCACCTTTTAGGACTTAAACTCAATCCAAATCTCAATTGGAACTCATGCATACGATACATCACTAAGGATGCTGGGGAAATACTATACCGCCCCAGTAAGTACCTGACACCTCTTGATATCCTCTACCTTTACAGGAGCCAGATTTAGTACTGTTATTATATATGGACTACTTCACTTTACATTTTCGATATAGTCCAAAAGCATCTCCGCGACCTTGTGGGTGATGAATTATTTTCAACAATGTTGTCACTTTTTCACAGACTGAAGTGCCTGGCTTCTCTATCGTTACTTCCATGGGCTGTGTCCAGGTGGACAAGATTATTTAGTTCGGCCGGTTCTAAGCTTCACGACTAAGACCCGTCATGCCACGCCCATTGTAGCGAACCATCCTCATTCCCTTCATATTCCATTGGTGAGATTTAAGTTCCACACGAGCAGCTTCTTCGCATTGCTTTTCGGAATCGGCTCCTTTGAATATACGCTCTTTTAGCGCTAGAAGGCGTCGTCAGTGATGTTCTGGAGATGGATCATTGGGCAGTTTCGGGTCTTTCAAACATCATACTGACCTCACCAAATCGACCCCCCCTCAGAACTGATCAGACTCTGAAACACCCTCTAAAAAAATGCTTGTAGACACTGACTTCTATAAATATACCCCGTTATCACACATTTGATTGGAGATTGACCAACAGCCAATCACAACGGTGCGAAATCTATTTAAGCCGTTTACGGGTGATTTTTTTCTTTTTTTCATTTTTCAGTGGACGCCCCTTCATCGGATACTTAGAAGGTAATTATGTTTTCCGTTTTTACCCACTTCCTATCAAGTTTCATTTCACCAGCTAATAATTACTATTTACAGAGATAAAGAAAAAAAAATACGGCCATTAAAATTAATAAATAAATTACAGCAAATTAAGCCGAGAGTGCTTATAAATATAATGAAACGTTTAAAACTGTTTACGAATAAAATAAAATAAAATAAGAAGATGAACATAATTTAAAAAAAAAAGCTTAAACCCTATCTGTCTATATTTCTACGATGAGGTATTTTAATTATTTACATTATTGACATTGTTCGGACTGTTGTCCTTATCATTATTGCCATATTCACGACGTTTCTGCCGTTGTACGCTCCGGCCTTCTTCCGGTGACTGGAAATTCGAACTGAACCCTTTATTTCGTCCACCGGGGTAAACTGTTCTAGTTCCACGAGCCATTCCTCTTATGGAGGTATCAGTTATCTCCCTTTAACTTAACTCTCCAATTTTTTGTTCCCCACCAGGTATTGAACACTTTAGGTTTAGTCACCAACTCTTTTATCCACTGCACCATGTATCCTTGAATCCAACGACTTCAATACCTGGCTACTGCAGTGCTGAAGAAAAACCAGGAGAGTTGAGTTAAAGGGAGATAACTAAGACATCCAGAAGAGTAATGGCAAATAGAACTAGAACAATCTAACCAGGGGGTGAAATGTAGGGTTCATTTCGTAATTCCGGTCACCTAACGAAGACTGGAGCGTACTGCGACCGAAACGTTGTGAATATGGCAAAATAGACGAGGGAAATAGTCCGAACAATGTAAATAATGTAAATAATGTTAAACCCTGTTTCGAAAAACATAATTGAGTAAAATATCATGGTTGAAACAATAACTTAAATATGCTATCTTTGTATTTAAAACCTTTTTTAAGGAAAATAAAATAATACACTCCTGTGAAATCCAACATAATAAAATAGTCCAGGTCATCAACACATTGTCCACCTACTTGATATTTGTCAAGGTAGAGTTACACATCACCACGTCTATAAATTTTAGACTTGGAGATGAAAAACGGAGCGCTTTCGTTGTTACAGCTTGTTTTTGCTAATGGTTCTCAGCGCAAGATTGTACATGGTTTTAAGCCGGCCATATGACTCACTTTTCTCTGGGAGAGGCTTGTATTCAGTTACCCTTATCCACAAACACAGTTACAAATATTTTTTCTGACAAAATTAATGACAGTAGTTCCGCGATGTCAGTTCACCGGAAGTGTTGCCAGATCGGTTTTGTGCACTCATCTTTACAAGCAGAAAGAAGGAAAGGAAGGAAGAAAGAAAGAGAATTGATTTATCAAGCTTTTATTTTCTTTTTCTTTTTTTAGTGGGGGGGGGCATTTTGTAACCATTCGTCAATCGCTTTCTCTTCTATCATATTTTCTATATTTCTCCTTTATTAGCCATCTCTCTATTTCTTCTTTCATTCTCTCTTTCCCCCTCTTTCTCTCTTACTTTCAATCTCGATCCATAACGTTTTGTTTTAATAGCAAGTCCTATTTTCTTTCTTGCTTGCTTTCTTTCTTTCTTTCCTCTCTCTCTCTCTCTCTCTCTCTCTCTTTAACGCTCTTTCTTTATCTTGAACCATAACGTTTTGCTTTAGCAACAAGTCCTATTTTTCTTTCTTTCTTCCTTTCTTTCTTCCTTCCTTCCTTCCTTTCTTTCACTATGTCTCTTTTTCTTTCTCTGTCGATCTATTATGTTTTAACACCAAGTCCTATTTTTCTTTCTTTCTTTCTTTCTTTCTTTCTTTCTTTCTTTCTTTCTTTCGCTATCTCTCTTTGTCTTTCTCTCTCGATCCATAACGTTTTCTTTTACCAGCAAGTCCTATTTTTATTTCTCTCTCTCTCTCTCTCTCTTTCTCTCTCCCTTTTCTATTTATATCTATTCCAGCTTGATTTTCTGCATTTCTTTCTCTCTTCCCATCCTTCTCATATTCTTTTTGAGTCTATTTCTACTTGATTTTCCATTTCTCTCGTTTTTTCTCTCTCTCCCACTTATATTCGTTTTGTTGGTTGATTTTGTTTAGCGGCATATCAACACATCTATGGGTTATTTAATGCCGAAATCTAAATATTTTGAACGCAATTGTATGCCTTAAATTGTACTGCTGGTCATTTTGCTACAAAATGTATTGTTTATAATTCTACTAAAAAAATGTATTGCAGGTAATTTTACAATGAATATGTCTGTTTATACCTTCATAATCTTTTGTTTCGTTTGAGGGATCACTATTTGCCCATAACTAGGACCCTAACAGGTGATACCACCCCGGGTCAGCGATTAAGAGGTGTTTCCACGTTCTTCAAAATCTCCGATCAGATGCCTCGTTGCCGGATGTAGTTTATCGTCATACCCAGGACTAATATTCGCTTTGTAAATATTGTTCTATCATTTTCCCTTTCCCTTTCTTTTTTTCGTTTCTCTCGTCTTTCTTTACTTTTTCTTTCTCACCCACTCTTACTCACTCTTTCTTTCTTTCTCTCTCTCTCTTCTTATCTATCCATCTCCCTTCCTCTCTCTCATTTATCATGTTTTCTTCTTTCCATTTCTGTATTTCTCTTTTACTTTATTTCTCTCTCTTTTTATTCATTATGGAATGAAAAATCGGAGAGCTGAGTTAGTTACGTTCACTTACGCGTAAATGCTCTTGGCAAAGGTGGGAATCCACATCTCCCAGATATGGGTTAAATAGTAGATAGCCAATCTAGGAGAAGGGCAACTCTGAATTCAAAACCGTATTTAACGAAACACATACTATGCAGCTAAGGAAAGGATAGTGGAGTTTGCAATGGCTATATGATCCCAACTACAGTCAGGCTCCTTTTCTTTCCTATATCCATTCTGTTTTTATCTATTTCCCCACTATTCTCTTTCTATTCGACCATCTCTTTATCTCTCTCTATCTCTCTCTCTCACACACACACATAGACAGGCACACACACTCTCTCTCTCTCTCTCTCTCTCTCTCTCTCTCTCTCTGCCATTCTCTCTATCACTCTCTCCTATTTGGTGTGTATCTATTTCTCCATTGTATTTTCTCTCTCTTTCTTTCTCTTCCTCTCTCCTCTTTAGTAGTATCTATTTCTCTATTATTTTCTCTCTCTCCCTCTCTCTCTCTCTCTCTCTCTCTCTCTCTCCGTCATTCTCTCTTACTCGCTATCACTCTCTCCTATTTGGTGTGTATCTATTTCTCCATTATATTTTCTCTCTTTCCCCCTCTCTCTCTTTCTCTCCTATTTGGTTTGTATCTATTTTTCCGTTATTTTCCATTTCTTTTTTTTTCTCTCTCTCTCCCCCTCTCTCCCTCTCTCTCTCTCTCTCTCTCTCTCTCACTCCTTCATTTTGTATCTATTTTTCTGTTAATTTCCGTATCTCTCTTTCTTACACTCCCCAACAATCTCTCCTATTTGTATATTTTCTTTATTTCTTTTTCTCTCTCTTTTCCCTCGCCCCCATCTCATTGTGCTTTATTTAGTTCGCCATTATTTCCTGTTTCTCTCTTCCGATATCTTTGTACAAACACTCGTCGTTATAATGCGGTTATTAAAAGAGACAAACTTTGAAAAATTATTTCGATATCCAGTCCGCTATTATGGTGAGCTATTGTTAGGCTTTGTTATACTTAGCAAATATCTACCTGTTTCCATGTCAAAATAATGCAGTTCTGTAGAGGGTCTGAGGCTACGATTTGTGTCATCATCCCTAAGCTAGCAACGCTTCTAACTATAGAAACATGACTAAACACAAACATGGATTAATAGAACAAATAATAACAAATAATTATGAGGCCGAACACTGACACTGTGGAAAAGAAAAAGGATGTCTGTCTCTCCGAGCAACTAGTTCATTCGTAAAACTGACGTGTCTGCATGTCGAGAGCGTATTTGGTTTTAGTATGCGAAGCTCGTACTTGCAAATAAATATCTGTAGGTGAAAAGTTACTTCTCGTTTCAAATTCCTCGTCCAGGAGTAGAATTTTACGGCGCCGGTGTATCGTGCAGATGTTACGTTCCTAGTCCTCCGATGTGGTTGCTTCTCCTTCTGTCGCTATACCGCTATCTGGTTATATGTTAATTCTCCTCTGCTTATATAGGTAGAGATAGGCTCACCTTGTACAAAATTTTAGATTCTCGATTTTCCTTTGACTTTTCAAAGGTTGAATCCTTAATCCTGATTTACTGGCTTTGTTATTTTACCTCCGCGCCATGTTTACGTTACGACGTCAAAATGTCTAAGATAACTAATGCTTTAACCCTAGCTATATGTGCCTCTACGCAGGAAAATAAATTTTAGGTTTTTAGTGATGCGACAGTTCTATTACTTTGAATATTCTCCAATGACATCAGTTAATTGTATTGTTTGTTCAGTATACGAAGAGACCACGCAGGTTCTGAGTCTCAGAAAGTTTCCTCCGAGGAAACATTTCCGAATTATTCTAGGAAGCTCAACACAAATCGTTAGTGAGTGTCATATTAACGTTTTGTGCATAAAATAGGACTAGAATTTATGCCAACAAACGTGAATATTTATTTGAAAATAGATTGCTATGGCTGGCCGTTCGTTTCCGTGTATGAATGTCTGTTAGTTTTACTAACAAATCTTTGTTGCAGATGACTTGCTCAGATGACTTGCTCAGATATATTTTATTGCTCAGTATCCACATTGCGTTATACTGCAATTATGCTTGCTTACATTTTCTAGGAGAGAGCTGCAGATCTGGCGCGACCACCAGTTTGAACTAAGCCCGTACGCCAAAACCCACATTGACGGTGGCTTGCGACTTCGTGCTAACACAATTACAGACGGATTACGAACAGGAAACTATGGAACTGGAACGATGATGACCGGACCTTAGTTACAGCTTCTGCGAGAGAGTGCATCATCTGACTTGAATAAGGCCACTGTGTTCAAACCCTCAGTCACTGTGGCTTACGACTTCGTGCTAACACAACTACAGACGACCACAGAACAGTTCAGTCTACGCAATTCCACTCACAAGACTTGGATCAACCGGTGGTACGATTTTCAAAAATTTCCCGGGTATGGTGAAATTCCAACACTGAGTCGCATGGACGAAACGCTAACTATACGGTCATAGGCTCACTTGAACATAAATATGTTATAGATACATATCCAGGGAAGTTCATGGACACTGAAAGCCGAAGGTACATTATGATAGCGAAAGATGCCTTCCAAAAGTTAAGCAAAATATTAAGAAACAAGAAAATATCATTAGAAACAAAGAGGGCTAAACTGTTATGCAATATTGATACTGTGGCAGTAAATGCTGAACCATTTAATCACAGATAGAGAAAACCTATGAGACAACATAAATGGGGTTCTTCAGAAGGGTGGTGATGTTACAGTTTTTTTTGCGTATATGTACTAGGTTATTTATTATGTAGAAATACATAATTGTGACACGTGGCCGATGAAGGGAAGGGGTAAAGACTGGTCCAAACTAACTATCCTATACCTAGCTAATCAGATTCACGAGCCATTCATACATTACAATTTCCCCATTCACCACAAGAACTCGTCCATCACCACTCAATCCTCCAATCACCATAATACCAGATTCTCACAAGGGGGACCTACCAAAACGCGCCCCAATCCATAAAAATTATGCATATATGTACTAGGATATTTATTCCGTTATTTACAGAATTGTGGCACAAGGCCGAAAGGGGAGGGGGTAGAGGCTGGTCTTCACTAACTATCTTATACCTAGCTAATCAGATTCACGACCCATTCATACGTTACAATTAACCCATTCACCACAAGAACTTGTCCATCACCACTCAATCCTTCATGCACCATAATACCAGATTCTCACAAGGGGACCTACCAAAACGCGCCCCAATCCATAAAATTATGCATATATGTACTAGGATATTTATTCCGTTATTTACAGAATTGTGGCACAAGGCCGAAAGGGAGGGGGTAGAGGCTGGTCTTCACTAACTATCTTATACCTAGCTAATCAGATTCACGACCCATTCATACGTTACAATTAACCCATTCACCACAAGAACTTGTCCATCACCACTCAATCCTTCATGCACCATAATACCAGATTCTCACAAGGGGGACCTACCAAAACGCGCCCCAATCCATAAAAATTATGCTTATATGTACTAGGATATTTATTCCGCTATTTACAGAATTGTGGCACAAGGCCGAAAGGGGAGGGGGTAGAGGCTGGTCTTCACTAACTATCTTATACCTAGCTAATCAGATTCACGACCCATTCATACGTTACAATTAACCCATTCACCACAAGAACTTGTCCATCACCACTCAATCCTTCATGCACCATAATACCAGATTCTCACAAGGGGGACCTACCAAAACGCGCCCCAATCCATAAAAATTATGCTTATATGTACTAGTGAGCCAGTCAAAACGAGCTGACTCATTTTATAGTTCACCAATAGAATGTTTAACCAATCAGAAAGCTCAAAATATTCAATGCGACCTGTATAAAGTCAGCCTTTTTGTTTTTTCTCCCAAATTATCTTCACTGCCAACCTGATATCGAAGACTTAAAGAATTAACAGCCGCTACTTTCTCCGAATCTACACTGCCAACCTCTGATATTGAAGAGATTACGGACTTCACTGGATTCCATATTCAGAGACTACGGCAAACATGGTCAACAGGTGAGAATTCCACGGACTGAACACATTTACAACGAGGAAGTTTTAGATGAAATTGAAACAAACAGGACACTTACACATAGCATCAGAAAGAGACAGCTGAATTTTCTAGGACACATAATCAGGAAAGAGAGCTTGGAAAATTTGACACGCACAGGGCATATTGTGGACAAGCGAGACAGAGGAAATCAACTCATTATCTACTTAACGAACTGGCAGAACTGGGATTAGGATAGATAGTAAAAACACAAACTTTACTAAAAAAAAAAACAATAGACAGGAAGATGTGGAGAGCCATGATCCTGAAAGGACGCGACACAGGGAAAAAGAAGAAGAAGAAGACCCAATCTCATTACATCCCTATTTCAAAAGGTTGGCAGGGGACTGGACAAAATTATTTTCTTTTTCTCTTATTTATATGTAGATAGTTATATGCGATTGTCGGAAGTTGATCCTATTTCATCGGTTGTTTTTATATTTCGGCTTTTCGTTAAAATTCAGTCTTTTAGAGACGATGTTATCGTCGTCTTGGTAGATCAAAAGAAGATATAAGTAAGATAGACAAAAGTTGAATTAAGTGTTTGTTTTATCTTTTCTGGTGATTCGGGGGTTTATTTTTAGCTGACTTAAAAGCCACAACCCGTGCGGACTTTTAAATTAGTGCTAATCGAGCTTTCGTTCCAAAACTAAATGGACCTCTGGTTTAGCTTGGAAAACAGCAATGATGATTTTGAAGAAATCATTTTTAATTCTTCAATTCACACCATAGAACTTCAAAACCTCATTTTAACTCTGATTCCTGTTATAAGTACAGTTCCGGTCGAAAGTCCGATTTCGGACGAAATTCCGATTCAAAATTGTGTTCTTCAAATAGGAAACTCTGCGGAATTTCAAAATCTCACGTCACGAAACCTCGCACTTTAACTTTGATTCTTTGGAATTTTGAAGAAATAAAATTAATTTCTTCAATTCACGAGATATTTCAAACTGAATTTAAAACAAAAAAATGGTAAATTCAGAAAGATTTGTGTTACTTTAAACACAATATAACAAAATTTTATATTCAAAATCATTAATTTTTTCAATTATTTTAAAAATTTGAATTTTTAACTGTTCCCTCCTCATCCAGACACAAATCCCAATACTGGATTTTCAAGCACCAGAGGAAGGGTAGATTTTCAATCCCGTAATGATCTTGATTCCAAAAAGGTGTAATATGTCTATATAGAGCAAATATCAGCCAAGTTAGTGGGGTTCGAAACACGCAGACGAGCAGAGAGTATTTGCCGTTGATTTATTTAGATATCCCTACGTCTCCTATATTTTTGATAAACTTTTTTTTTATCTCTCTTAACTTTATTAATTTTTTAAACTTATTTCCATACCCTATGATTACCAAGGAACAACTGATCTATTGAGGTTAAGCAGGCGCCACAAAATAAAAAAAGAGGATTGGGTCCTATGTCAAATGATAAATGTGGTGAGAGGAGGATAAATCAGATTGTTCTGTTACCACAATACAAACATGTATCGTTTAATTCCACTCTATTCATCCCTTTTTTCAGTTCAATTACTTTTTAGATTAGTCACCGAATTTTTTATCACATTATGTTAACCCTAGTTGTCACCAGAATCTACACTGTAAAACTATGAGCCTAGACACGCGGTTCTTATTTTTCTCATTCTCCTAATCTTACCTCCATTGATAACATCGCCGGTATGTAACCTTTAAAAAAAATTTTATCTCTACATTGGTCTTCTTTAATGTCATGTTATTATTTGAACATTATTTAAGGTAGCTACCTTTGGATACAAATTTACGTTTTTTTTTTTTTTCTTTCTAGCACGCTTTCTCCACGTGCTTACCGCTTTACACACTGTTCCCAAATATAACTTTAATTCCT